ATCGGCCATCAAGTTGGTTTTACCTTTGATGTATTCGACTTCCATGTCAAATTCCTGGGTGCTTGCATTAGACAACGTCGAAGCCTCGGTTAGTGACTCGTCTAGTCTTCGATTGTTCGTATCGGTGATCCGTGTACACTTTGAACCTCGGTAATCGCCAAAAAGGAACATAGCACGCCTTTCTTAATTCACCAGCGAGAGTGCTTTCCATCTCGGATTCGATTGGCATGTACGTCTTCTGAGATTTAGTTAAGTGTAACGGCTGCCACCATGCATTGGTTGTCTATTCTCTGGTTACGTGGCTTCTGTTTCAGACATAACTCAAAACGCAGACTTGCAACGCTGCATCGGTGTATAACTCGACGGCTGACCAGGCATAGTATGCAAGCCTACCAGGTTCGTACTAACCTTTCTTTGACTTCGCAGAATGCCGGCTTTTTTTGATCCTCTGAACATCTCAAAACTTTTTGTCAGAGCTTTTTTTAGTAGGGTCGGGCAGGAGGACCAGTTTGCTGCCAATTCTGGAATATCATGGCGACATTTGTTGGCTAAACCATGAAAGGATCGCATGTCTTGTTTATGGCTTCTAGGCCTTGGAATTCTCTGAGTGACTCTATAAGCAAAGGACTGATGGTAAATCATCTTTACTCACGACAACACCCCCAAACTCTATGCTTTGCTTCTGAATACAAATTTTCTTTCTCAGTCTATGTTCCTCGCTCAACGACATCGCTGCCAGGAACGCTCGTACATGTATCAGGTGGGTCTTCATCATTCTCATACACGAGGGAATCATCTACCCACTCTTACGATGTTGTCTTGACCATGAAGGGATTCCGACATGCGGGGCGGTTGTAAGGTGCTCTAAAAATTGTTTATTCGGCGAACGGCGCCTGCTCATGCTAAAACGTCAAACGGAGTTATGTAACGTAGTCAGTCCGTTCGATTCCTCTGCTATTTTGAGTTGGTGGTACCTTTCTCGCATCAAAGTTTTGTGACCAGCAGATCCTTCCGTAGGCCTCTGATGTTTGGCTGAACTGTCTCCAGGACAGATGTGATCGTAGACCTCGCGCTTTGAAATTTATTCAGTGGCTTGAAGTTTCCACATAGGCGTGTCGTCAGAGTTCTTCTTTTGCTCCCACCACTATAGGAAGCAGCCCAGTCTGGTGCTTTAGTCTGAGGTGTTATGATCTAGCATCTGGAGGTGTTTAAGTTCTTTCTCTAATTTAGGCATCAGGGGGTATGACACACCATAGATCTGGTTTGGCTTTGAACGGCACCGCTTTTTCTTCCAGCAATCCTGAATTTTTTTCCCTTCACAGGGTTTTCAAGAGACCAAAGACATCAGCAACTCATGCTCGTCAGTCCTGTCGAGTTACCTGGCTTTGCTGGTTTCTGACCTGGTGTGTCTGACTAGCCTCGGAGACTGCTTCGGCATTTACCGTATCGATAGTTTGTTAGACTTACTGATCATGGAGTATCATACCTCGTTCAGGCACCTGGACATTGTCTAGGTTTCGGCGAGTTGTCTGCAGTAGGTGGTCCTAGTTGAGCCTGACTATGTTTAGCTCGATTAGGCATGCTTAGATAGGATTGTGGCCAGCTAAGTCCGGGAAGACAACAATACATCGGGTGATAACGTTGCACCAAAAGCAATGTCGGTTAGAAATATCGCACTTGGTTTCATTCGTACTCCACTAGATTACGTAGCTCATGTCTGCAGTTAGTGGACATTAGTGTTGTGAGGGTCTTCTTTCACCGACACAAGTTTCGGTCTTTCTGCAATGGCAACACAATCCGATCCTGTGTCAATGAGAGCCTTTACTTGGGCTGTGGCATTTTGTCAGTGAATTGGTGAATTTAACTTAAGTCAACAATTAGTGCTAAATGGAGGCAAGTTGATGCTTCCATTAACGTCTTCTTTGGCTTGTCATGTATGAGCTGGTTTCTGCCAAGAGTTTCTGCACAACTTTGCGCAAACTGGGTTCGATTTACCATATGATTTTGGCATTGTCTTCACCCTTCTGCTGGGCAAGTGGTCTGTCTCGGTGTTTCGGGTAACCAACACTGGTTACACATCTCAGTTCTTTTTCGCTATGCATTCCGAGAGTATCTCTGGAACTGTGCAGCTCTTATGCTTCTGAGACGCTCGGTTATATTTGATTGCCTTCCAATTTCTCTGTGAAATTCGGGTCACCCGCAGAAAAGCAGAATACTAGTGACTGGACCTTCTGTCTCTGTGATATTTTGTTCTGCTTCAGAACTCTTTCGTGGCCTTTTCTACAGAAAGGTCAGAATCTCTCAGCATGCTGCTCGTTTGCAGCTTCCTTGCGGTGCAGAACACCAGTTATGACAGATGTGGTCGTCAATGCTGCTGTGCACATTGGTTACAGAACCCTTTGATCAAAGGTTACATTATTTTATACCTTTTCGCCACACTTCAACTATAGAATTTCGCAATCGGAACTTGTGAGGCTTTTGATGCAAGTGATACAGATTGGTGTCGAGATGTTCACACAGATGGGTTTGTCTCGATTAGCTTGAAGTAATAGCACAACTTCTTTAATGTTTGTCGCTTGGCTGCAGCGGAGCTGAGGTCGAAGGCATCTACACGGTTGCATGTTAGATGGTTTTATGCGGACTCGATGGCGCATTTGCTGAGTTGCCAATCCAAACTCTGTGAGTCGCTTCCTTGGCGAAAGCAAGAAATGCGCTCGATTGCTAGCTCGCCTAAATCAATGCCTAGAAAGGAGTCTATATCTTGCTTTTCTAGACATATGTGTTTTTTAGTAATGAACAGTTTTACGCTTGTCTAGCACGGTAATCTCTGGTAGGCTTGCGCTGATGCTTGAACTGGTCGCCTGCGATTGTGCTGGCTGTTAGGTGATAATTGCAGCTAGCATCTACAGTAGCGTCGTTCTGCTGTGCCTGTGGCACTGAATGTGGCTGTTCGCAGTAGCACTATCAGCACTTGTCCATCTGCTATACTTTCTTTGAGTGTCTTCTCTTGAGCTGCATTGTGTGCACAATAGCAATGCACGTATACAGTACGTTTGCCGCCCTTTATTACAGCGTGGTACGGGTAACACAGTTCCATCACCCGGTCTCCGTTCACTCAAGCTTGCTGGTTCGAAGATTATATCAAATCTCTCTGCCTTGCAGGCATGTTATATATCTCGTGTCCTTGAGACATTCGAATACAGTTTCCAACGACTGTCTTACTTGTTACATAATATATTGTTATATATAAACTTGAATCACACAGACGCAGTTACAACAGCGTGTACAGTCTAGAGTCCCGCATAAGTCTTCGTCTACTTTGGCTAGTGGCGCCAACCTCTTGGGCTACAAGAATAAACATTACTTTAACGTTTTACGGAGAGACCAGACCCTCTCCGTAACTTTAATATTAAGTTGAAAATAACACATTTACACTACGAATTACAATCTATAGATATTATATTTTATAATAATGATAAAATGTGTGTTTTTTCTTGAAAACACATCAAAATCATTAATTATCTACGCGCTAATAAAACAAACAATACATTTACAATGGCGTATGAATTTGTTCTCTTGTTTTAAAGAATGCCACGCTTGCCACGACTCTCGCGTCTGCGCGTTACAGGGTGAGAATTTGTCTTGTTGTGCAGAATAAATTCATGACCACGTCGACCACCATCAAATATTATTTATATGTGGTTAGCCATCATAATATGCTAAATTACTGTGATGTACAATAAATGTGTATGAATTTGAATTTTGTGATCGATTCCTCATCCATCAGAGCCTTGTGATGAAGTTCCTGTTATCGTAAGTTTTCTAATAGCTGCGATGTGTTTCTGTCAAAGCGCTACCACGTAACATTAACATTAGTCGTAAGTGTTATCTTAGCATTAACATTAGCATTAACTTTACGATGTTTCTGACAACGGGCCCCTAGTGTCTAGCCTAATAACCCCAGTTATAGCAAGAATCCTAGTTTTGGGAGCAAGAATCCAGGTTCCAGCGCGCCATTTGTATCACAACTTGAGGAATACAAGTTTCCTATCTCAAACCATAGTTTCGAGCGACGAAACCTAGTTTCGTCGTTGCCAAGACCCGTATCTAGGATTCGTGCAGCGACGCGTAGCACGACGCTGCGACGCGTAGCGGTGAGAAATGGGAACCAGTTATGGAGCAGAGTATTTAATAGCACAGCATATTTAATTTATTTATACAATATTTAATTAATTAGCTTAACTAGTATGTTATTTCTATAGTATTTACTGAGCAGTGGCCCCGAGTGGCTGAACTACGCTGACGTCATGCTCGGGATTACGAATCCTAGATACGGGCCGTAGCAACGACGAAACTAGGTTTCGTCGCTCGAAACTCGGTTTCGAGCTACGAAACTGAGTTTTGAGATCTTGAACTGGGTTTTGAGCGTAGAAACTAAGTTTCGAGCTCTGAAACCTAGTTTCTTGACTGGAAAACTTAGATTCTAGCCACAAAACCTACCTGCCAAAAAAGTTTCCTGCGAGGAATCTTGGTTTTTTGAATTATGATACAAATGGCGCGGTTGAAAGTGGGTTTCTTGCTGAAACCTAGGTTCTTGCTTCCAAAACCTAGTTTCTTGCTCAAGAAACTAAGATTCCAGCTATAACTGCGGTTATAGGACTAGAACTCAGGTTTCATGCCATAAAACCTAGTTTCTTGAGCAAGAAACTAGGTGTTGTGAGCACGAAACCTGGTTTCGTGCGAGGAAACTTGGTTTCTCGAATTATGATACAAAATGCTTGCCATATACATGTGCGATATACCGGCAGTAAATTAAGCAACCTTCGCAGCCACGCTGCCATAGATAAAGCTACGTAGAGTAAGCTGAATGATCGAAATTACTGGTCCAATCAATAATGTCGAACATCTTGAACATCAGCTGTCGGTTACACTTCAACATCATGTTTGTATATCAGCATCGTTCTGCTTTATGACACAAACTTCTCATTCATATTTTATAGGGAGGCATGTATGTATTAAATGTTATTGATGTAAGCATCGGAGGAATTGCTTTGATTATCCTTGGAATCGTGGAATTTTTGACTATACATTGGGTGTATGGTAAGTCGTTTATTATTTAACCAAATGTTTAACGTCTGTAAAATATATTGTGGGCGTTGATTATACTGATTAGTTAGGAAATAAACAAACTTTAAGAACATGTTTTCTCGACTTAAAATACTTAATAACTCGTGGTAAGGATATTTGACCTAAGAATTTTTGAATCTGAATAAATTGAAAGAGATACATAAACTTATGTATATATATCTATATATATATATATATATATATATATATATATAATAATAAGAATAAACCTTGTCAGTCAGTGCATGTTTGATAGTACTTAATTTCATTATAACATGCCTAATTGCATCGGAAGTTACAATAGAGAAGTAGAGGTCGTTCTGTAACAGCTTATGAGTTATTGATTATTGATTTTTCAGGTACTGACAAATTGTGTGAAGATATTGCTCTAATGATAGGAAAAGAACCCAGTTTATTTTGGAGAATTTGTTGGAAATACATTTCACCTGTCATTCTAATTGTGAGTCACAAATACGTGGCATTACAAATTACAAAGGAAGTTATACGCCGTGTTTTAATTAGGAATTATATGATTTGCAAAATAAAATAATTGTTTATATGAACCTTGTTATAGAAGTCATTAGCACACACCATACTATAAGATCGCGTATATGTCTTTGAATCGCTGCATGTATGTAGCAAATAATACTCCTGTAGGTTTAGCTACAGTATTTTGATGCGTGTGTTAGTAAACTTGAGTAAACTTAGTAGTCACTTATTTCGTCATGTATAATCATGTTCCTAACATTAGCCGCATTTTTTTTACAGTTTGTTTTAATAATGAGCCTAGTGGTGTATGCTCCCATCACCTATACATTTCCCTATGCCGAAGATGGTGTGTACGAATATCCCAGCTGGGTAATGGTAATCGAATGGAGCTTTGTTGCAATCCCATTAGCCCTTATTATAATAGGATTCTTTTCCAACTTCATCACGTTGACGGTAAGTCTTGACTCGTCCGTCTAACGTACGATTGATCGTGAGATGTCTCTTTTACCGCTGATAGCCGTAGTAAACACATGGCCAGATAACCTTATTTTATAACGAGATTAAGGGTTTTCACGGCAAGCTTTCATCAGGACCGCTTTACTTGCCTTATTAACATGTAACAAAGCAAGTTTTGTGGATTACGAAATATACTCCTATCCTGCATCTCCGGTTTCGTCTTTCTTTTCTTGGTCTACAAGATTGGGCGTTTTTCTCGCAGTCAGTCGATATTTGTGTAATACAGGTGCTATTCGGGGGAATCTTTTCAGGCGCTAAAGGAAGCCGCTCAACCAGCTTGGAACTGGGGACCAGCCGCCGAACAACGCAAACTGCACAGCGGGGACATCAGTAGACAGTTCTTCACAAGTAACTCCGAAATCAGCCTGTCAACAATCGACACCGCGCTCAGTACGGATATGAAACATGGAGTTATAAACAGCAGCTTCGATCCAACGCTAGATATTACCATACCCTTTTAAAATCTCTTGATTATACATTGATTGAAGTGCGCCACGCGATCAGCGCTAGTAGGGTTTAGCGATGTACAAACAGTCGCAAAAATGTGACTTCTAATTGCTCTTCGCAGAACGCATTGAGTTTGCAACTGTGTGCATCTACCCCATAGCAAGTATTATTACGAGATTTGGGTTTGGAAACTTTTTAAATATTCTTTAAGTTTTTATTTTACAATATATTTATCTCAATAACACAAATAATAGCCCTATCCTTCTTAGAAATAAAATTTAACTATGATTGAAGCAATGCCTATTGTCGGTGCGGATGAACTGCTTGATGCACATTGCGCGATCCCGTAATCTTCGTGGCGTCACCGGATTTGATCACAGCAAAGCTGCTGATCATAACAAAGTTGTATTACCAGATTGTATAGAGCGCTGTTGTACCCAGAAGAGAGAGAAACGATTTAATTGTTTCTTCAGATTTGCAGAAAGATCTCGAGTGTAACTGGAAGTCATGTTAATACAGCTTGTCTACTAAAGTATAGAATAAGACACAAACAAGAACATCCCACCACCACTCAACATAACCTCCATTACATCTTTGTGTCACGTTACCGCTTAGTTAATTAACCCCACTGGCGAATGACAGAAAAGCGGATTTTAAGTTGTTGTTTTTTGCTACTCTAATATAAGCCACATGTGGCCTTCAAATCGTGTAAAATAACCACAGTTAAATTGGAAAACGGTTGATTATACGTTTAGCCTGTTGTAAATCAAGAATAATACATTAATATATATTTAACAGTTTTAATTTGTATTGCTGTATTTAAACAATTGCAATTTGCAATTTAATTTACAATTTGTGTATTTTCACTATCATTAGGACAAGTGCTAGAGCGATAGCATTGCTAGGGCGATCGGGAGCCAATAGATTCCATGATAAAACTCCGCTGAGCCCAGGTCAAAATGCGCCGTTCGATGTGCTTGTATATTTATATTCCATAGATTATCGTAGGTTGGCAATTATTACTCAGTGTGGGTATTTATAAATGGTGGTATTTGCGAATAAGCCACGACGTTCTTGTAAGTATCACCTACGCCTCGAATAATGCCCGCACAAGAAGAGATACGTGGATTGTCATCTCTATGTGTATATATTTTAAATATTTAAGTTGTTGGAAAAGAAACTGAGATGCAATTATTGTATGTACAAGCACACATTTAGAATAATTAAAATAAAGCATTTTACAGATCGAAGCATTGAAACTACGTTTTTGCAGGTTATAATATACAATTGAGTAACGATGGCCAAGATCAATCTGTTTGCGGGTACAATACGTGTCGCCCTTAATATTTTCGTAAGTAAAAGGTCGTTACATCAAATTATCAAAGCAAATTAATATTCACTATCAACTCTCTACGTTAAATGGTGTCAAATAATATTTTTCATCATATGTTAAGAATTCTCGCGAATCCAAACCCTAGCATGGAAAATGAAACTGACATTGTCAGCGTAACGTAGCACACATGCCAAGCATCTGCGAATTATGTATTTATAGATACTCATACTCGCTAGTAGTTCTATCTTCTATTGAGTAGTTTGATGTGAGAATTCTCCTAACAACGCGTCATCCTAATTCAAGTATTGGATAACACGACTATTAGTTGGTTGAAATTATACATGGTACTGATGTACTGCGATTACCAGAGTCAATGCAGTGTGAACGCTTTATTAATCCTCACGTATTTTAAATGTCATTCATGCATCCTTCACGTTGGCTCGAGTCGCGAGTTATGCCCTTTAGCCCATACTTCCCCTATCTGTGTATGAGCTTCACATTAGAAATGAGCAAGGAATCTTAGAGTGTTGGTTTGTACTATTTCATTTCAGCACTTTTGCAGGTGGATTTAATGCACATGTATGTGTAACATGGCGAAATTTGATAATTATCTCCAGGTAGTGTTTAACGTATCAGGTAGAGATTAATACAAATTATATAGATAATTAGCTCTGTTTCCTGCGCTAAAAGTTGAGGTTTTCTGTGGAATACAGTGATATAACCAATGAGCTCAGTTACAGTAGACCCAGGCATTCCCGGCAGCGCCGCTAGGTGTCGCCACCATACAGTAGAGTTGCGATGATAATATTTTGCAATGATAATTGTATATAACGATGTTTTATTGCAAAGCAACAAGAAGCACGCTATTGTACTCACGGCAGATTGAATTTGGCCATCGACAATCTATTGTGACTACTATTTACTACTATCAGAATTAGCACATTTTCAACTTGTATTGAATGTTTTGTTACAATATCTTACTCTAGTAATCTAGAGTTTTCTGTCATCGGCCAGAGTTTATTTCTTAAGCATGGATGGAAAATATCAATTATAGTCGCTTACCTGTCGCTTCGATAAAGGTGGAGGTTGATTAAGAATTTTGCATCGATTTTCACCACTAGTACTAGTGAGGTATAAGAATTTCCAGCTACAAATACATAAATACACACAGATTATGGTTACATTTTATTCAATACATACGTGCATTTACTGTCCTAGTTTACTCTGTTGTTGGGCTAAATTATGCATTTATTTATTTACATTGCTATGTAACAGGAATTATTATCACAATATAATTAATTAAATGTGAGAAACGTAATTTGTTTACGTTATCGCGTAACAACGCTGGGCGACAGCACGCGACATTAACACGTTCTTACCACAGACGCAAGACAGTCTCTCTTAAAGAAATTTACTGCATGTGACTACGCATACAATCTTATAAGATATGCGCAACAAACTACATACATTGGGTCGTGAATCCGCGGTATTATGCACCATATCATATTAAACGCCATGCAGCTCTGACGTTTCGAATAACTAACAACTCGACAAAAAGGTGAGCAGTCTCAGTTCAATACCTAGTTTATCCTTTCTCCAGAGAGAACCCATGTGCTTAGTCGATATTAATAGCAAACACCTTGAGAAAGAATCTTGTATATTTTTTAAGTCTCTATCTGCACATTTTCGGCGCATGCGCATGGCGGTCTTAGTTATTGTTCGTTCGCGATAAATTATCGCTGTGGAAAATGATTCGAATTCCTTACTATATAGACGCTGCGTGATAATAAATTTTGTCTATTTTTACAAGCTTCACATTTTGCCAGATCTGATATACGGTGTTCATCCTGGTGCAGACATTCTTTTACTGTACACATCGTAAGGGATATTTGTTAAATTATGCTAGGTAGCAGGACTGCTCAGCGGTCAATATTTGTCTTAACTTCATCGAACATGCGTTATATGTTCTGCACTGTTACAAATCATTCTATAGCCACATATGCGCTGTTTCTAACAGCATTATGATATAAAGTCCGTTGCTGCTGTTAAGTACCATTACGCGTTAAAGCAAACACAACCTGCGGTGTGTGTATGATAACGATGATTAATTAAGCTATTCAATCGCCATTTCAATAACCAGTGTTTGTTTTCTAAGACTGGTAGGGATCAACAGTCTTATGCCATGCAGTATAAAACCATCATCTGAAATTGACAGGTGTTCACGTACGTTCCAGTATTCACTGATCGAGGCATCCAAGTCTCGCTTCTGGTCAGGAAATCCATTAAGTATTGTTTCCTTCAGTGTTTGGTACTTATTATCACAATCAGAGGCTTCTCTTATCGACTGGAGGTAAATAGGAACATCTGCTTTCTCCATGCAGGCTGTGCTGATTGCTCGTACGGTACGGAGTGTCTCTCGCTCCTCCTCCAGGTCTGTTTCGTCTGGCTCTTTCGTCGGGTAGCGAGAAAATGCATCGGCCATCAAGTTGGTTTTACCTTTGTTGTATTCGATTTCCATGTCAAATTCATGTGCTTGCATTAGGCAAGGTCGAAGCCTCGGGTTGGTGACTTCGTCTAGTCGTCGATTGTTCGTCATCGGTGATCCGTGTACACTTTGAACCTAGGTAATCCAACAAGGAACATAGACGCCTTTCTTAATTCCCACGAGAGTGCTTTCATCTCGGATTCGATTGGCATGTACGTCTTCTCGAGTTCAGTTAGTGTACGGCTGCCCACCATGATTAGTTTCTATTCCAGGTTACGTTGCTTCTGTTTCAGGACTAACCCAAAACCAGACTTGCACGCTGCATCGGTGTATAACTCGACGGGCTGACCAGGCAAGTAGTATGCGAGCCTACCAGGTTGTACTAGCCTTTCTTTGACTTCGCAGAATGCCTGTTTTTCATCCTCTGACATCTCAAACTTTTTGTCAGATTTTTTAGTAGGTGTCGCAGGGGGGCCAGTTTGCCTGCCAATTCTGGATCATATGGCGACATTTGGCTGGCTAAACCATAAAAGGATCGCATGTCTGTTATGCTTCTAGGCTCAGGAAATTCTCTGAGTGACTCTATCAGCAAAGGACTGATGGTAAATCCATCTTTACTCACGATCACACCCGCAAACTCTATCTCTTGCTTCCTGAATACAAATTTCTTTTCGTTCAGTCTAATGTTCCTCTCACGACATCGCTCCAGGAATGCTCGGACATGTATCAGGTGGTCTTCATCATTCTTTCCATACACGAGGGAATTATCTACCACTCTTACGATGTTGTCTAGACCATGAAGGGATTCCGACATGCGGCGGTTGTAGTGCTCTGAAATACTGTTTATTCCGAACGGCGCCCTCTCATACCTAAAACGTCCAAACGGCGTTATGAACGTAGTCAAGTCCTTCGATTCCTCTGCTATTTTGAGTTGGTGGTACCCTTTCTGGGCATCAAATTTTGTGAACAGAGATCCTTCGTTGGCTTGAACGTTCTGAACTGTCTCCAGGACAGATGGTGACTCGTAGACCTCGCTCTTTGAGAACTTATTCAGTGGCTTAAAGTTTACACATAGGCGGATGTCGTCAGAGTTCTTCTTTTGCTCCACCACTATAGGAAGCACCCAGTCTGTTGCTTTAGTTTGAGGTGTTATGATCCTAGCCTTCTGGAGGTGTTCTAGTAATTAGTCTTAAAGGGACTACGTCACGAATTTTCTATAATAAAATTTGTAAAAAAAAAAATAGCCATTTTTTTACATTAAAAGTAAGAACTAACGTTACTAAATATATCCTCAAACTCTCACCTGATAAAAATGTGTTTACGTTGGTTAAATTTGCAAAAATCTAGACGATTTGGTCATTTCTGTTGTCTAACACTATTCCCCCAGTACTGTTCAGATACTGGCGTCTCTCTGTTTTTCACCGGCAAATTAGGGCATATAAAGAAGGTATATAAGCATAAAAAGTAAACAGAAACACTAATTGTATTTTCATACATTTTATTTTGTACTACTTGATGGTGCTAGAAATTCGTGACGTAATCACTTTAACATTAGTCTTAACATTAACTTCCACTCGTAAACCGTTGACACAAACATCGTAACGTTACGAGAACGAAAAATCCTCGAAAATATCCTCTTGACATTACGCGAGCCCAGACCCTCTCGTAACTTTAATATTAAGATGAAAATAACACATTTACACTACGAATTACAATTATTTATATATTAATGCCTGTTGTTGGGGGCAGTATGACAGTTTTAGGGTTTAGGGTTTTTCTCACAGGGTTAGGGTATTTGCGTCATTCTTTAATATATACGAAAAGTCTGATGCATGCGCAGCGCAACCATCAGCAGGCTGTATGCGTACATGCATTCAACTTCGGAGATAGCCGAGTTCGTGCGTGACGTACACTGACGTCACGCGATCAGTCTGTCTAATGAAAACATATGCCCACCGGTCTATGGTGGTGGATAGCCACTGACGTCACACTGACGTACACTGACGTCACGCGATCAGCCGGCTTACTGAAAACATATATCCACCAGCGTCTTTAGAAAATTTATTATGGATGTGCTATATATGCATACATGGATGTGCGTGCGTGATTGGTCTATGGTGGTGGATAGCCACTGACGTCACACTGACGTACACTGAAGTCACGCGATCAGCCGGCTTAATGGAAACATATATAAGTGTACGTCATCACTGTGTTACAGAGTATAACAATATAATACAACACATTTATCAATTACTAGCTGCGGGTACCCGCTGCGCTGGGTAAAATCGTGCTACTAATTTATAATAGTAGCTTATATATGGGACAGAATAGACATTGGTAAAATCGACAATATAACATTGCAGACAATAATTAATATTTAGAAATGAGTTAATAAGATAATAAGCAATGAGAAAAACGAAATAAACTGATTTACGATGACATTTATAATACAGGCACAACCGAACTTAGAAGCCCCTGAACATAATACGTAATATGTGTAAATACAAAAAGTTATATATAAGAGCATGTAGGAATGGGTTGACGTTTTCATTCGAAAGCCTCTGACGGACTTGCGCCCGCGTTTTTGCGCGCAGCGCACGGCTCGCGGCGAAGCCGCGCCCAACGCGAATACGCCGCCCCCTTTGTCCACTCATAGAGAGATATGGACACAGGGGGTCTGAAAACGCACTACGCGAAAACTGGGGCGCATCCCAACGCACATTTCGCGTTGCGGACGCAGGAGGCCATCTCCAAACGGCCCCTAACCATTTTTTTGGGGTGGCGCGCGCTTATGGCCTAAGAGTAGTGACGTCCGTACAGAAATCTCAAGAAATGCTGTCAATTCAGCGTGGTACGCGCCGCGACATCGTTGCGCGCTACGCGATGACGGGGCGTCTGAAGGCCGCGTATTTAGCGTTATTCTATCACAGAGCTTTTTACGAGAGTTCGTACGGCGCTGCACGTGCGTGGCGCGGCCTACATGCTATCTCCAAAGTTTTCAGCAACCTCCCTGACCCCGCGCTGAGCCCTGGCAAACGGCACGTCGTCGCTGCGTGGCCAAGCGGCGAAATGTTCTTTCCCAAAACGAAGGAATTTACAAATATTGAGCGCGCCTCTGATTGGCTGGAATTTGCAAGATGTCCAGCCCCATTGACTTGAAGCCAAAATCCCAATTAATCTACCAAAACTTTCCCGAATTTCTGTAAGTGAGGTTAAAGTAGTTTATAGTATGTTTCTTAAAACACATGAAGTTTCAAGGCAGATTAAAGCCAAATATCATGCGTTCTTGCACTGATTTGCTTGGGCTGAAGAAAAACCGTTCAAGACAAGAGAACAAACACCGTTCTGTACAATGTTTGTTTGTTTGACGCGGCTTAGTCTGATAGATAATATAAAGTTTTCTGATGTTATTTCCATGAAAGACATCATATTTTACTCATTCATTACTCACATATACATATTACTATAATGTGCAATTCTTTGAGCAAATCTGTTATTTCAATCCTTAATTTTAAGTTATGCGAGGTGCCTACACGATCGTAACTCAGGCTTCATAGGTTATGCTGCCGAATATTCTGTTATGTTCGTTGCGTGGNTAGCCTGTTCAGGCACCTGGACATTGTCAGGTTTCCGAGTTGTCTCAGTAGGTGGGTCTAGATTGAGCCTGACTATGGATAGCTCGATTAGGGCATCCTTAGATAGGATTGTGCCACTAAGTCCCGGGAAGACAACAATACGTCGGGTGATAACGTTGCACCCAAAGGCAATGTCGGCTTCGAAATATCCACTTGGTTTCATTCGTACTCCACTAGCATTTTCAGTAGCTTGCATGTCTGCAGTTAGTGGACATAGGTTGTGAGGGTCTTCTTTTACCGACACAAGTTCGCTTTCTGCAATGCAACACCAATCCGATCCTGTGTCAATGAGAGCCTTCACTTGGCTGTGGCCATTTTGTCCATGAATGGTGACTTTAACTAAGTCAACATTAGTGCTAATGGAGCAAATGATGCTTCCCATTAACGTCTTCTTTGGCTTGTCATGGCATGATGCTGGTTTCTTGCCAGAGTTTCTGCACACTTTTGCAAAGTGGTTCGATTTACCACATGATTTGCATTTCTCCCCTTTTGCGGGGCAAGTGGCTCTGTCTCGGTGTTTTGGGTAACCACACTGGTTACACATATCAGTTTCTTTCTCTCTATCATTTCGAGAGTAGTCTCTGGACTGTGCAGCTCTTCTGCTTCTGAACCGCCTCGGTTTATTTGGGTTCCTTTCCATTTCTCTGTTGATTCGGTTCACCCCAGAACTAGCAGAATGTGTGAGCTGGGCCTCTGTCTCTGTGACATTTTCGTCTGCTTCCAGGATCTTTCGGGCCTTTTCTACAGAAAGGTCAGGATCTCTCAGCATCTCTCGTCTTGCAGCTTCCTTTTCGGTGCAGAACACAAGTTTGGACAGAATGTGGTCGTCAATGGCTGCTTGTGCACATTGATTACAGAAGCCTTTATCAAAGTTGCATTCTTGTACCTTTTCCACCACTTCACTATGGAATTTTGCAATCGACTGGTGAGGCTTTTGATGCAAGTGATAAAATTGGTGTCGAGATGTCCACACAGATTTTGTTGTCTCGATTAGGCTGGAAGTAATAGCCACCACTTCTTTAATGTCTTGTCGCTTGGCTGCAGGGAGCTGTAGTCGAAGCGCATCTACACGGTTGAATGTAGATGGTTTCATGGCGGACTCGATGGCGATCTGCTGAGTATCCCAATCAAACTCTGTGAGTTCGGCTTCCTTGGCGAAAGCAAGAAAGGCTCGTTGCCAGCTCCTAAGGTCAATGCTAGAGAAGGAGTCCATATCTAGCTTTTTTGGACATAGTGTTTTCATTAATCCCCAGTTTACCTTCTTTAAGTTCTTAGCACGAGCATGATCTGGTAGGTTGCTCTGCTGCTGGACTGTCGCCTGCGCTTGCTGTGCCTGTTGGCTGATAATTGCAGCTAGCATCTGCAGTAGGTCGTTCTGCTGTGGCACTGAATGGGGTTGTTCGCCAGTAGCACTATCAGCACTCATGTCCATCTGCATTTTTTCTTGAGCGGGTTCTTGAGCTGCCATCGTGCGAACAATAGCAATGCCCGTATACAGTACGTTTTGCCGCCTTTATTCCACGTGGTAGGGGTAACAGTTCCATTACCCGGTCTCCGTTGACTCAAGCTTGCTGGTTCGAAGATTACATCAAATCTCCTCTGCCTTGCAGCGCCATGTTATATATCTCGTGTTCTTGAGACATTCGAATACAGATTCCAACGACTGTCTTGCTTGTTACATATTATATTGTTTAAATAGACTTGAATGACACAGAGGCNCTTCTCGAGCTGCCATCGTGCGAACAATAGCAATGCACGTATAGGCCTACGTACAGTACGTTTTGCCGCCTTTTCGGTCTTTGTTACACTCAAGCTTGCTGGTTCGAAGATTATATCAAATCTCCTCTGCCTTGCAGCGCCATGTTATATATCTCGTGTTCTTGAGACATTCGAATACAGATTCCAACGACTGTCTTGCTGGTTACATATTATATTGTTCAGATAAACTTAAATCACACAGACGCTGTTACAGGAGCGTGTACTGTCTAGAGTCCCGCCATAGTTCCTCTTCTCAACTAGTGGCGCCACCTCTTGGGCGTACAAAGAATAAACATAACTTTAACGTTTTCCAGTTATCTTACAAGTTGAATTGTATTTTAATTGAAGTGAATTGAATTGAATTGTGTTGGAATGCTATGGTACGGTTAAAGGGGATATTAGTTGTCATGTTACGCGGTGGCGGTTACGAGAAACACTATGTTAAGATTATACACTTAAACGGTTACAATTACAAGCAAACCTATCACGACGATAGTACAGCAAGTCTTTTGTCTGTAACAAATTTTAATGAGTTTCTCCAGTCAGGAGACTGGCTTAAAGCCGAGGCAGTCGACTTTTTTGGGGCAGGGTGAAATGTAATGGAGAAATGTCGTACCGTGAGAACGGTACAAAGGAAAAGCAAATACGGTCGGTCAGGGACGGCCGGCAAATGGCCTCACCAGACTCAACTACCTATTTTAGAAGGAACCTATAAATTAACGTGACGGCCGGCATAAGCCGATAGAATCATTAATAGAGGTACGGCCGGTCCTCACGGCCGGACGACGGGTGTAACGGCCTCGGCCCGACCCTAGAACAGAGCATAAGTTGTCAACCAGGCAGTCATTAAGTGACACCTAATGACGGCCCGACAACTGGTCAAGGAGAGCATTGAACCCCGACAATGGGACGGCCGTCGCGACCTGTCGTTGTGTCACGCGTCGTGCCACAAATCAGGAAGTCTGTTAGGGCGCGACGAACGCGCGCACGGTTTAAAAGAGAGAGGTTTTGGGAGAAACGAGAGAGTCTCCGACCACCACTTGGTATGTGTATACACTGTCACTATTCGTCGTGTTTAGAATAAAGTTATAAGTGTTGTTTACCGTTTATACAACTGTTACGTCTACTGTCTACGAGCGTATATCCAACGCTACAGTCACACACCACTATCAACTGTCACATACTAGCATCAACTATCACACACCACCATCAACTGTCACATACTACCATCAACTGTCACACACCACCATCAACTGTCACATACTACCATCAACTATCACACACCACCATCAACTGTCACATACTACCATCAACTATCACACACCACCATCAACTATCACACACCACCATCAACTATCACACACCACCATCACACTACCAGTAACTATCACATTCTACAATCAAATGTCACACATCACCATCAACTGTCACATACTACCAGTAATTATCACATACCACCATCAATTGTCACACTACCATTGTGTCTCTATTTTAGGATGATCGCGGAGCTACAGAAGCAGATAATGAACGTGAGTAGGCTGGCACCCGGCGGGCAGGCTGGCTTCCCCTGGCCTGTCGGGGTGCGCGAGCCATCAAGTCCAAAGACGCGCTTTGACGTGATTCGCTACGACTACTTCACGGAGACGCACGTCTACCTCGGCACCGACCACAGCAACATTGCTGAGCTGAGAGGAGCCGACAAGGAAGATGTCGACGACATCATCCGCGTCGCGAAAGAGAAGCTGCTGCAGAAATACGGTTCGTCTGCTTTTCGCTTCTCCTTGAAACGCAGTACGATGGTAAAGGAATTGTAATAATGCATGCAACTGGTTCGAAACTGTATTGAGACCTGTACCGAGACCGAGTTAGAACAGAAGTTCCCCCAATGTCTACATGCGGTTCGTATATTTTTTCTGGCGTTTGCAGGTAAGAAATACGTGTTCGGGAGGCTGGTAAATGGCTACCGTCGATTTGACGCGACACGAGGCATGGAGTACCTGCTGGACGTGGCGCTGCGTGAGCGCGACGGTGACTATGAGCTGCACCGACGCGTGCGACTTGTGCGTCCGCTCAGCCACGTCGAGATTGTGCCGATGCCCTACGTCACCGAGAACACGCGTGTTGCCGTCGTGCTGGCGGCGCGGCGCAGCGATCGTCCGCGCCTCGCCGCGTTCCTGCGTCACTACGAGCGCACGGCGCTCGCCGCCGGTGACAATTCTGTGCTGATGGCCGTGTTCGTGTATGAGCACGCCGGCGACGCGACGGCTGGCGACGATGACGCGTTCGCCGAAGTGAAGGCGCTCGTCGCGGCAATGGAGCGCAAGTACAAGGACGGCGCGAAGATCGCGTGGATGAACGTGCGCGCGCGCGAGCCGAGTGAGTTTCACCTGCTAGACGTCGTCTCGAAGAAGTTCCAGCCAGAGGCGCTGCTACTGCGCACGACGGCGGATATTGAGCTCAACCCTGAGCTGCTCAACCGCTGCCGCATGAATGCCATCCTCCGCTGGCAGGTGAGATAAGGAGCACTGGCAAGTGATCCAGGGGTACCCGCTGATCGGTCTCTGTCCGCGTGCATGGCACAGTTTTATGTACACATTTAGCTCATGTCATATTGCTTTGACCACACTCACTCACACAGATATATATATATATGTATATCTCAGCCCTCGACACTAACGGTTGTCCGATTGCCCGGAACAAATGAAAGTCTATCTCGGACAAGTTATTCTCTTGCCTAGTTGCCCGATCAGACAACTGAAAAATTCTAGTTGTTTAATATTCCTAACATCCTTTGAGCCAGGGCACCATTTCAATATGGCACCACGTTCTCACGTCAAACGTTTTCAAAGATCACTGAAATAAGCAGCCAGCGACGCCCACCGTTACCATTACAGATTTATTCAGAGCGGCAGCGCATACCTCCCTGGCCGGGGCGGGATTGATTGATGTACTTGGGGGGGGGTATCACTGGGATGAGAGGACGACAGCAAAACTCTTACCTGGGATTGAGGAGAAAGCTCCAATCGGGAATGACACATAATGAGCGTGCCGGCACGCAAAAATAAACGTTGTGTGAATTTCATTACGATTATACATGCACTGTATTTACTCGTGTATAAGTATTATTCATGTACTAGCGGGATACCCGGCGTTGCCCGGGGAAATCAGTGTCGTTACTCAGTTGGTGACCGCTTGGTTGAAACGAAAATACCCCAAAAAAATCGAATAGAATTAAATTTTCGTTTTTGTCTCTCAGACGTGGTGATTCTGAATATAGCTTCAGTTTTCCACCAGGCTACATAGTTCTCTAGTTGTGCGAGTACACACAAAGTCAGCTGAACAACTTTATATATATAGATAGTCACACCCAATATTTTGCCTTGAAAAGTTGGTACAAACATTGGTACATAACAAGATTTCTTAGCCTCGTCTATAAGTCGCACCCCCTGATTTTTTTTTATTGAAGTTGTGTACCAATTACTCGTGTTTTATACACGAGTAAATACGGTATATACTGTAATATTAGGAGTGTCTAATA